TTGGTTCCCTATTCTGCCTTTTATTTCCTGTGCATTCTTGGGGAAGTCATTTGACTTTTCTAATTCTCAGTTTCAGTTCAGTTCAGTTCAGATGCTCAGTCGTGTCCAACTCTTTGCGACACCATGAAACGCAGCACGCAAGGGCTCCCTGTCCATCACCAGCTCCCAGAGCTTACTCAAACTCATGCCTATCAAGTCGGTGATGCCATCCAGCCATCTCATCCTCTGTTGGCCCCTTCTCCTCCTGCCCCCAATCCCTCCCAGCATCAGGGTCTTTTCCAATGAATCAACTCTTTGCGTGTGGTAGCCAAAGTACTGGAGTTTCAGCTTCAGCATCAGTCCTTCCAATGAACCACCCAGGACTGATCTCCTTTAGGATGGACTGGTTGGATCTCCTTGCAGTCCAACGGACTCTCAAGAGTCTTCTCCAACACCATAGTTCAAAAGTATCTATTTTTTGGTGCTCAGCTTTCTTCACCATTCAACTCACATCCATACATGACCACTGGAAAAACCATAGCCTTACCAGACGGACCTTTGTTGGCAAAGTAATGTCTCTGCTTTTTAATATGCTATCCAGGTTGGTCATAACTCTCCTTCCAAGGAGTAAGTGTCTTTAATTTCTTGGCTGCAGTCACCATCTGCTATGATTTTTGAGCCCCCCAAAATAAAGCCTGACACTATTTCCACTGTCTCCCCATCTATTTCCCATGAGGTAATGGGACCAGATACCATGATCTTAGTTTTCTGAATGTTGAGCTTTAAGCCAACTTTTTCACTCTCCTCTTTCACTTTCATCAAGAGGCTTTTTAGTTCCTCTTCACTTTCTGCCATAAGGGCGGTGTCATCTGCATATCTGAGGTTATTGATATTTCTCCTGGCAATCTTGATTCCAGCTTGTGCTTCTTCCAGCCCAGCGTTTCTCATGATGTACTCTGCATATAAGTTTAATAAGCAGGGTGACAATATACAGCCTTGACGTACTCCTTTTCCTATTTGGAACCAGTCTGATGTTCCATGTCCGGTTCTAACTGTTGCTTCCTGACCTGCATACAGGCTTCTCAAGAGGCAGGTCAGGTGGTATAGTATTCCCATCTCTTTCAAAATTTTCCACAGTTTATTGTCATCCACACAGTCGAAGGCTTTGGCGTAGTCAATAAAGCAGAAATAGATGTTTTTCTGGAATTCTCTTGCTTTTACGATGATCCAGCGGATACTGACAATTTGATCTCTGGTTCCTCTGCCTTTTCTAAAACCAGCTTGAACATCTGTAAGTTCTCGGTTCATGTACTGCTGAAGCCTGGCTTAGAGAATTTTGAGCATTACATTACTAGCATGTGAGATGAGTGTTATTGTGCAGTAGTTTGAGCATTCTTTGGGATTGCCTTTCTTAGGGATTGGAATGAAAACTGACCTTTTCCTGTCCTGTGGCCACTGATGAGTTTTCCAAATTTGCTGGCATATTGAGTGCAGCACTTTCACAGCATCATCTTTCAGGATTTGAAATAGCTCAACTGGAATTCCATCACACCCACTAGCTTTGTTCGTAGTGATGCTTTCTAAGGCCCACATGACTTCACATTCCAGGATGTCTGGCTCTAGGTGAGTGATCACACCATCATGATTATCTGGGTCGTGAAGATCTTTTTTGTACAGTTCTTCTGTGTATTCTTGCCACCTGTTCTTAAAATCTTCTGCTTCTGTTAGGTCCATACCATTTCTGTCCTTTATCGAACCCATGTTTGCATGAAATGTTCCCTTGGTATCTAATCTTCTTGAAGAGATCTCTAGTCTTTCCCATTCTGTTGTTTTTCTCTATTTCTTTTCATTGATCATCTGAAAAACAGGTAATAGTAGCAATTTCATTGAATTGTTCTACAGTTTAAATTAGTTCATAAATATGAAGGAATAGCACTTGGCATAAACTAAGTGCTTTTAAAAAAAGCTGACATCAGTGAGTATTGTGAACTTAATTTAAAACATTACTTTTATCATAATTCTCTTCCATATCAAGGACAAAGAATGACTTTTAAATGTGTAGAGATCAAGTCTAAGTGGTCTGGTATTCCCATCTCTTTCAGAATTTTCCAGTTTGTTGTGATCCACACAGTCAAAGGCTTTGGCATAATAAATAAAGCAGAAGTAGATGTTTTTCTGGAACTCTCTTGCATTTTTGATGATCCAATGGATGTTGACAATTTGATCTCTGGTTCCTCTGCCTTTTCTAAATCCAGCTTGAACATCTGGAAGTTCACGGTTCATGTACTGTTGAAGCCTGGCTTGGAGAATTTTGAGCATTAATTTGCTAGATTGTGAGATGAGTGCAATTGTGTGGTAGTTTGAGCATTCTCTGGCATTGACTTTCTTTGGGATTGGAATGAAAACTGACCTTTTGCAGTCCTGTGGTCACTGCTGAGTTTTCCAAATTTGCTGGCATATTGAGTGCAGCTCATCTTTTAGGATTTGAAATAGCTCAACTGGTATTCCATCACCTCCACTAGCTTTGTTTGTAGTCATGCTTTGTAAGGCCCACTTGACTTCACATTCCAGGATGTCTGGCTCTAGGTGAGTGATCACCTCATTGTGATTATCTGGGTTATAAAGATCTTTTTTGTATAGTTCTTCTATGTATTCCTGTCACCTCTTCTTAATATCTTTTGCTTCTGTTAGGTCCCTACCATTTCTATCCTTTATTGGGCCCATCTTTGCATGAAAACTTCCCCTGGTATGTCTAATTTTCTTGAAGAGATCTCTAGTCTTTCCCATTCTATTCTTTTCCTCTATTTATTTGCACTGATCACTGAGGAAAGGTTTCTTATCTCTCCTTGCTATTCTTTGGAACTCTGCATTCAGATGGGTATATCTTTCCTTTTCTCCTTTGCCTTTCATTTCTTTTCTTTTCATGGCTGTTTGTAAGGTCTTCTCAGACAACCATTTTGCCTTTTTGCATTTCTTTTGCTTGGGGATGGTCTTTATCACTGCCTCCTGTACAATGTTATGAACCTTCATCCATAGTTCATCTGGCATTCTGTATATCAGATCTAATCCCTTGAATATGTTTGTCACTTCCATTGTATAGTCATAAGGGATTTGATTCTGGTCAAGGTGGAGAGTTCTGACAAAACGTAGTCCACTGGAGAAAGGAATGGCAAACCACTTTAGTATTCTTGCCTTGAGAACCCCATGAACAGTATGAAAAGGCAAAAAGATAAGACACTGAAAAAGGAACTCCCCAGGTCAGTAGGTGTCCAATATGCTACTGGAGATCAGTGGAGAACTAATTCCAGAAAGAATGAAGAGATGGAGCCAAAGCAAAATCAACACCCAGTTGTGGATGTGACTTGTGATAGAAGTAAAGTCCAGTGCTGTAAAGAGAAATATTGCATAGGAATCTTGAATGTTAAATCCATGAATCAAGGCAAAAGAAGTGGTCAAACAGGAGATGGCAAGAGTGAATATCAACATTTTAGGAATCAGCGAACTAAAGTGGACTGGAATGGGCAAATTTAACTGAGATGACCATTACATCTACTACTGTGGGCAAGAATCCCTTAGAAGAAATGGACTAGCCACCACAGTCAACAAAAGAGTCTGAAATGCAGTACTTGGATGCAATCTCAAAAATGACAGAATGATGTTTGTTTGTTTCCAAGGCAAACCATTCACTATCACAGTAATCCAAATGTATGCCCCGCCCAATAATGCTGAAGAAGCTGAAGTTGAATGGTTCTATGAAGACTTACAAGACCTTTTAGAACTAACACTCAAAAGAGATGTCCTTTTTATCATAGGGGACTGGAATGCAAAAGTAGGAAGTCAAGAAACACCTGGAGTAATAGGCAAATTTGGCCTTGGAGTACAGAATGAAGCAGGGCAAAGGCGAACAGAGTTTTGCCAAGAGAATGCACTGGTCATAGCAAACACCCTCTTTCAACAACACAAGAGAAGACTCTACACGTGGATTCACCAGATGGTCAATACCAAAATCAGATTGATTATATTCTTTGCAGCCAAAGATGAAGAAGCTCTATACAGTCAGCAAAAACAAGACTGGGAGCTGACTGTGGCTCAGATCATGAACTTTCTGTTGCCAAATGAAAACTTAAATTTAAGAAAGTAGGGAAAACCACTCTTCTATTCAGGTATGACCTAAATCAAGTCCCTTATAACTATATAGTGGAATTTTCCCTTAACATAGACTTCCCTAAAATACCCCAAGTGTGAGCCCAGTGTCCTTTGTTACATGAAGCCCATTAGTACCCCAAAACAAAGACTTTATGTACAAATCTAGCCATGCAAGTTAGAATATAATTTAAAGGCACAGAAATACCTATGGCTTCTTTGGTCCAATCTGTAGGAGTGTTAATCATTTCAGAATGTTTCCAGACTGATTTTAATAGAGAAGAGCCCAACCTCATACAATAGCAGGAATCAACCAGGAATTTAATGAAATAAGATGCCTTCCTGAGAAATATCACAAATTTCCTATGTCTATAGAACCCACAGATATCTTCATATATTATAGAACTGTGCTTTCACTCTCATGTCAAAACTAAGGTGGAGAACATTTCAGAAAGAGACATGTGCAGTGTGCATTCATTCCTAAGTTGTCTGAAGCTTTAGAAAGTCAGAGAATAGTCTCAGCTGAATCAGAACAAGTTTTCTCATCTCCCCCTCAAATAATTTGATGTCCTTGGGTGGTTGCACAGATCTCAAGGACTTCAGAGTCTAGCAAAATCTGATCAACTCTCCATAAAGAGTCCTTCAGAACCTCTCAGGCTAACTGCAAATAACTTCCCATTCATTCGAACTGGACGACAACATCAAATCACATTATGTTCATGTAGGAAGTAATTGAAAGGCGATTCTTTAGTTCTGAATGCAGAAGTTGGTCAAAAGTCTAATATTTTCAAAAGCTATATCATTTTGAGAAAGTGAAGAAAACTGCATTTTTCTATCTTTCAAAAAAATCTAACAGTATCTTTTATTGTATTTTTAAGGTATCCTCATTGCTGCTGTGATGTTGAGGGAAAAATCAAGGACATAAGACTGAGAGATACAATGTGGCTGACTTCAAACAGCAGCTCTACTGAGTACTTCATTACCTGTTCTGTTGTGGTTCAACTAAGGATTGGAATAATAGCTGAAACACATAGGTGAGTAAATACAATTGAAAAAAGAAAGGCAGTGATGGAAAGCAGTGTATTCACATATGGAGACTGGTCAGGGATGCCTTCATCTATTCATCTGTCCACTCACCTATTCACCCATTGATACATCCATTAATTATTATTTTTAATATCTCATTGAGGAACTCTTGTGCAGGTTCTTTCTAGGTGCTGAGGAAGTATCATGAACAAAGCCTACATGATCTCTGACCTTGTAGAGCTTCAGTCTAGCTAAGGAAGGGTGTATTATTTACGCTCTCATTAATTCATTAGAAATTAATGAGGAAGCATCCAATGTCACTGAAATGTGAATGTCTTTGCAGGAAAGGTAGAATTGTTTTTCTCATAGGACACTTTTCTACTCTTCCACTTGTTGAATCTTCCTCAGAAAAATGCAAACTCCTCAAGGACAGTGGTATCTAAGGTTCACTTCAGCATGACTTTAGCGCCTGGTGAAGCTTCCTGCCTTGTGAATTGCAGCACCTACATCCATGGAATGGCTTCTCACTATTATCTCTGCTGTATTCACTGTATGTGTGCGCACGTTCAGTCGCTCAGTTGTGTCTGACTCTTAGCAACCCTGTGGACTGTAGCCCCGCAGGCTCCTCTGTCCATGGGAGTTTTCAGGCAAAAATACTAGAGCAGGTTGCCATTTCCTCCTCTAGGAGGTCTTCCTAACCCAGAGACCGAACCTCAGTCTCTTGTGTCTCCTGCACTGGCAGACAGGTTCTTTACCACTGAGCCACCAGAGAAGCCTGTATTCACTAGGAGACATTCCACAAACATGGCTTTTTTGAATGTAAATGCTTGCATATTACAGAATTCCTTGAATCTGGCTACCATACAGATCACTCTGTGTTCCCTCCAGCATCTTCTTTCCAGCCCTGGTCCTCCTTTAGCCTGTATGATACCTTTGGTAACACTACAACTTCACCATCTGAGTTTCCTTCTAATTGTTTGACTACTTTTTCCTCTGTTGAACTTGATAACTGTTCAATTCCGTTCAGTTCCAAAGCAAGCTAATTCAGTTTTATTAATATTTGAGCAGTTACTATGTGCTGGATACAATTTATTACCTCTATTCAGAATACTCTAAAATTCACCCTTCAGCCACCTGATGGATCTAAACCTACATTGTCTATTGGACACCATTTCCAGGGTAACCTATGATCTGCTCATTCTAAGCATATCTAAAATTAAACTTATCATTTTATTCTGAAAATGGGAATCTACCTATTTCTTATGTGAATATGATATTAATAATTTGAATATTGTTTTAGCCACTATTACATAAATCTCCATGTTGTAGCTAACTAATTCTTCAAAATTCCCTTGGATCAAGCTTAATTTTATTCCAAATACAGTTCACTTCCAATCACAAAATGCCTAAACTTGTCTTGATCACTTTTATACCCTCTTGCATTCCAACCTACACAGCATACTTTGCTAAGTTACCAAAATGCTGCTAAGGCGCTTCAGTCGTGTCCGACTCTGTGCAACCCCATAGACGGCAGCCCACGAGCCTACCCCGTCCCTGGGATTCTCCAGGCAAGAACACTGAGTGGGTTGTCATTTCCTTCTCCAATGCATGAAAGTGAAAAGTGAAAGTGAAGTTGCTGAGTTGTGCTCTTAGCGACCCCATGGACTGCAGCCTACCTGGCTCCTCCGTCCATGGAATTTTTCCAGGCGAGTGTACTGGAGTGGGGTGTCATTGCCTTCTCCAAGTTACCAAAATAAGTCACCTTTAATGATGCTGAACTCTTAGAGAAGCAGGTGTAATTTCTTCAGTTCGGGGTATAATAGCTTAGGATGCAATACCTTCACTGTCATGGCCTTATTTGCTACTAATGTTGTACATTTGTTCTACCCTATGAGGAAACTAGAGGTCTTCCTGAATGTTATGTAATTTCTTGCTTATAAATTGTTCTCCAACTTTTCTCACCCTTTGTGGTATACCTACTTCTGTCATTCCAGGTGTTAAAAATCTTTCTAACATAAGCCCTAGTTTAAATCAACCTTCTTGATGATGTATGCTGCAATGAAAATAAATTTAAAAGAAAAGATATAAAGAGGATGGCCTTTGGTAACATAGAGACTTGAATTAAATCCTGGATCCACCACTTTACATGCTGTTTGATCATTGACAAATTACTTTAAATTGTGACACTGCTCTAAGGGGGGAAATTCTGTCTTCAAAATGAAAGTAATCTTCCCTTGGACTTTGAAATGAAGAAGGTGGCTAAATAGTAAAATTTGATTAAAAGAAGTATGAAAATGCACAAGAGATGCTGGAGTTCATCCATCCTGAAACTTAGGAAATCACTGGTTAAAAATTTACCAGAAACCAGGATACAATTAAACCATTCCAGGCATGAACATGGTCCTGAGAAAGAAGAGTCTGTACACACAGAAAATGTTTGTATATTTTCACTGCCCTTCATTGTGACTTGGTAAATTTACAAACCAGTAGGCTAGTAATCAAACTGTATATTTCCACCCCTACTACATGACAAAAATAATTTCTAGAGTACCCAAAGCCATTTCACTCCTGAATGTCACCCCCCTTTCACCCTCTAACTTAGGCATCAACTTATAAATTTATTCTGGGACAACAATTTCAAGTAAAAGTCATGGCTGATGGCTGAAAGTAGGGAGTTGTTGTAGGAGTGATGTGGGAGTGATGCATTTTGGCAGTTTTAGATTTAGACATGTTAATTATGGCAAGGAACTAAATACATACTCTGTAGCTCCCTTTCTGTATATTATAAAACAATCAGGGATTCCCTGATGGTCCAGTGGTTAAGAATCCTCCTTGCAATGCAAGGGACATCTGTACAATCCCTGGTCTGGGAAGATCCTACGTGCCATGGGGCAACTAAGCCTGTGCTCCACAACTACTGAAGCCCGAGTGTCTAGAACCTGTGCTCCGCAACAAGAGGAGCCACTACAATGAGAAGCCTGTGCACCATAACTAGAGCATAGCTCTTGCTCACTGCAACTAGAGAAAGCCTGCTCACAGCAATGAAGACCCAGTGCAGCCAAAAATTAAATAATTAAAAATTTAAAAAACCAATCAGACAAAAAGAAAGAGAAGCATACAACAACAAAAATAAAACCATATAGCAAGAACAGTTTCCAGCAGGGTTACAGGACACTGGATATTTGGTAAGCCTTATGCCTATCCACTCACCCTCCAGCCAATGATCTTAGAATTTGGACAAATTAAAAAAGACCCAGTCAAATCCATGCCCTACTCAACAATGCACTGCCAAATATTAACCCAGATTGATCTCTTTCAACTGATGACTAAATTAAAATATAAATACATAAGAAAACATTTGATAATATATAATTGTACTCAAATTATAAAGGATCATCCACCTTAAAATATATACATTAAGAAGCAGAAGAAATCTCAGCATCAATCTCAGCATGTTTGTTTTTAAATAAAATTAAAACATGCATACATACAATATATAGGGAAAAGGAAACCGAATATGTAAGTAGGAGAGCTGGAAGAATCCACCTCTCTCAGCTAATCCAAATACAGTAATTTTGGTTTCCCATGTGTTGCTACTGGGCTTGCCTAGTAGCTCAGTTGGTAAAGAATCTGCCTACAATGCAGGAGACACAGGTTTGAACCCTGGGTTGGGAAGACCCCATGAAGAAGGAAATGCAACCCACTCCAGTATTCTTGCTCAGAGAATCCCATGGACTGAGAAGCCTGGTGGGCTACAGTCCATGGGGCCAAAAAGAGTCAAACATGATTGGAGTGACTGAGCATAGCACAGACATGTGTCTCTACTAGTCTGGCATTGATGGTCATAAAGCTTGGATTTTCTCCAACTTGCATTAAAGAGGGGTTCTTATTATTGGCATTAGGCAATTTTCCATGTTCTGATTCCTCTGAAAATTTATCCCAACTCCTTTTTCTCTTCCAGGATTTCCTAAAAGTTTATGCTTTGAATACTTTCTTATTTTCTAGTGTTTATATAAAATTATTCTTTCTTAATAGCATTTCTGTCATTTCAGTTAAATTTCAGTGGGAAGGGAAGTAGAAAAATGACTTCAGTTTGCAATCTTGATTCAACTTCTCCATCAGATATTAATTTTGTATGCAAGAAAACAATAAATGTTACTCTTAAATATTACAATGATTAAAAATAAATTAAAAAGATAGTCTCTGCTTATGTGAAAAAACCAGCTAAATGGAACACCTCATTTTCTCTGTAATGATCAAGATAATGAGGCATTTCTGTGCCAAGTAAAAAAAAGTTTGCTTTAGAAAATTCTTTCTGAGGCTCAAGTGTAAATTCTTTAATTTTTTATAAATTTCTTCTACTTTATGCTGCTCTGAAAAGAGAAATGTGGTACTCTACAAGATTTGTAGTAATGTATTAAACATGTGTGTCTCTCTTCCATGGGTATTAGGGTCAATCTTTAATTAAATTTGGGACATTTATTGTTCTTAAGTTGAGAAGACAGTAACTAGCAAAGCATCAGTTCCAATCCACTATTGTAAATCGGTTCCAGACTTTGAGAACTGTAAGTGCTAAAATTATTTCCAAAACTTTGGCAATTAGATTAAAGTTCAATCATTTGATGTGCACTATAGCGAAATAGGTGTTTCCCAGGTGGCAGTAGTAGTTAAGAATCTTCCTGCCACTGCAGGAGATGCAGGTTGAATCCCTGGTTTGGGAAGATCCCCTGAAGTAGGAAATGATAATATGCTCCGGTATTTTTGTCTGGGAAGTTCCACAGAGAGCTGGTGGAATTCCTGGCGGGCTACAGTCCATGGTACTGCAGAATCGAACACAACTGAGTGACTAAGTACACGCTAGCTAAATAAGATTGCCAGGAGAAATATCCACAACCTCAGATATGCAGGTGACACCACCCTTATGGCACAAAGTGAAGAGGAACTAAAAAGCCTCTTGATGAAAGTGAAAGAGGAGAGTGAAAAAGTTGGCTTAAAGCTTAACATTCAG